TTCCCATCTAACTCTATGCAAGAAGGGGAACAAGTATATTTCTCAAACTATTCCTTTAATTTATTGCCTTTGACCTGCTGTATTGTCCGTTTTTAGAGTTATAATGCCATTATATAGATTTCAAAGCTTCTGTGAACATTTCATTTATTGCCATTTGCTTTGTGTTCACTTTATTAAGGTGTAGCTAACATAATTGTCTCTTGGCTTATGTCTGGTACTGTCTGTGAAAACATTTATTTTGCTGGTTTTTCCATTTTTTTTTTCTCCTTTTACTGATATAGCTCAATCAATTCTGCGTGTAATCTGTTTTATTTTTTATATTTGAGTCAAATACACACTGCACATCACTTATAAACCATGGGGTTAAAAGCTTTTGTTTGTACCAAAAGTGTATGTGTAGGCCTGTCTGAATGTGTTTTGTAAAATTGGTTATGTAAACAATTCGAAGAATGCAATAAAATCCAAACTGGGTGAAAACAAACTTCCCTCTGTGCGGTGTTACTCAAAAGATTTGGTGTCCTCTTTCGCAATGTCTGTCAACTCGTCGCCACCCTGCAGGACCCACGGGTTCTTCAGGTTTGTGTCCAACAGCAAATACTGTATGCTACCTCTGGTATGCAGGCGCTGCCCTGATTTTGACACCGAACTGAAATTTTTGTTGTATGAGAAAATTGCCCATCTACAAACATAAAACATCAGTAAATAATACTAAATAAAGTGAGATTTTTAAAAAAAAAATTAAATGGCCTTTCAAAGGAAGCATTTCCTGAATGAAGTGTACTCTGGTCTCTGTGATCTGGAGGCTTTGATGATGTAATTAAGTTTACAGATACTCATGAGAAAACTGTTTTAATTATAAACCACCGTCTTTAGTTTTATAACACAAATTGACGATTGTCTGACTCCAATCAGTCAAGGGGTGAAATACAGTAGTATTATTTTTTGTTAGACTTGCAACAACACTATGCTTTAGAACCAAATCAACTCGTCAACTGATTGCTGATGGTTGAACGTCAGAAATAAATCCCTTTTCAAGCTAAAACGGCAAATATCCTCTGGTTTCGGCCTCTGAAACTGGAACATTTGATGTTTTTCTGTGTCATATAACAATAAACTCAATATTTGTTGGTCAAATGAAACAATCACTATGAATGTGTTAGTCCTGGGTTGTATGATTTTTGGACACAACAATGAAGGTTTAATTAAAGTTAAAATACACTATAATATATAAAGGAATTTTTCTAAATCTGCGATTCATGCAAATTATTTTTAAGATTGAAAGACAGGTTTGGACAGTTTGTAGCTCTCATGAATCTCAATCAGGTTTTCAACCATCCCTGACATTCCTTCACTCTCAGTGACTCTTACCTCAGAAGCAGAGATGAAAACAATAGGCTTGAAAACCCCCTCTTTTGTCCCCTCCCATCACTTCTATGAGTATAAATCCGGGGCCACTCTTCAGTCTGTACTAAACAGAGCATCAGATCCCCTGAGTGGAAGGATTTTTTTTGTCTCCGAGCCAAAACTAAGAACCAACACAACAAGATGGGAAGGATCGTACTCGCAGTTGTTGCAGTTATTGCATCTTTCATGCTGGGTAAGAATAAACAATGATTACAGATTTATTAAGTATGGACAAGAAATTTTCTGGCAGTGGTTGACTTGATTAAGATATTGTGGAAATGTTATGTTTAGTTTTAGAGATTTTATTGACAAAAAATATAAGTATGTGCAATTTGAAGTCTCCTGTTTAATAAGAAATTAAGAAGACAGGCGTGTACAGTGATTTGTTTTGGTGAATGTGGTGTTAAAAGTAATAGAAACTGAGTCTCTGAGAAACCCAGTTTCTATAAAGAGACTGTTTACTTAATCGTAAGTCGATGCTTTGAACACCACAACTGAAACTCCATTCACCTCCACTGATATGGGGCAACAGCAAACAATCTTAGAGGCAAATATCTAACAAGTTGAGCAAGTGAAACAAATTGAATGTACAATACAGTATGTTTTCACTGTGATTTGGGTGAATTGAGGTTAAAAGGAGCTAAAAACCAACTTTAAGTCCCCATTCACCATTGATTAGCATCCATTCACACCTGATAATTTCCTTTACAATGAAGATTGAAATCAAACTGATCATTTTGAAACTGGCTGATGTTTTTTATCTGTGATGATTTGAATTGAGTGTTAATCTAAAACAGGGCTGGTTTTTAACAATGACCACAGTGCAGGGTGTGGAGGGATCACAAACTCAAATAAGACATCAATAACATAAGATATCGGATAGGTAAGATTATTGCTTACTATGAAAAGAAAGATACATCACTCAATATCGCTGGTAGATAAAGCATTTATTTTCAAAACAACATATAGGGTAAACTCTTATCTCTGCCATACAAATAAAAAGTACATTATGGGTTAGGGAAAGTCTACAAATATCTGCCTACAAAATGTTATACCAAGAATAACATGGTATTATTTCAGCTCTAGATGCAAAAATGTGGTGTTAACTCCTTCAACCACACAAACATTTGAAGACTACTGTGCAATTTCTCAACATAAAGTTGTTTGATTCTAACTTTTGTGTTTTCCTTTATCTATTTCAGTGGATTCCCTGAACTGTAACAAATGCAGCTATGGTCTGCTGGGCTTCTGCATTAGCAGCTCTGAGATCACCTGCTCGACCAACACAAGCGTCTGCTTTACCGGCAAAGCAAGTATGTCACCTAATTACCTAAAAGCTCACACCCTTTCCCTTCAATCATTGTCTAACGGCACAGGCACTATTCAGTTAGAATCACTCCCAAATACTGTGACACCCAGTCACACACACATAATGTAGATCAACAAGCACACCTCAGTGTTTCCAGCCACCAAACACAGTATCCTTATCTGACCAGATATTCACATTTTTATCTTCATACTGATTCAATGTAGTAATTTAATACAATTAGCTCACAGCCCAGCTACACTGCAGTAGAAAATTACTCATTTACAAGGCCTGCGTGCTAATTTAGAAATAGCTGTAAGTAGCGAAGTGGTCAAAATAGGTACAAGTAATAAGTACTCATTTTAAGTTTAGCCATTATTTCCAGTTTTGGGCATTTTAATGTTTTGAAGAAGGAAAGGAAGGAACAAAATTAGGAAATGAAGCAAAGAATGGGTTATTGTTATTAGTGATTTTATGAGCTTATCTCAATGTAAAACATGATTCTGCAACATAAGGAAAGTATTTAACTATAGCAATGTAGGTAAAACGTAAAATAGTAAAAAGAGAAACACTCAAAATGAAGTACAAGTACCTCAAACCTGTTTCAATGCACCAAGTTACTTTCCACTTTTTAACACAAACCATTTCTCCTCAGGTTTCTCATCCATCTCTGTGGGCTTCAACACTCAGGGCTGCCGTGAGCCTGCAGGCTGCAACGCAACCGTCAACAGCACCCTGCTGGGTGTCGACTACACGACTAAAATCGACTGCTGCTCAACAGACAAGTGCAACCCCGTTCAGATTAGTGGGGCTCCCTCCAGCAAGATGACCCTCACCGCCGCCCTTGGTGTAGCCGTCCTGGCGTCCCTGTGGGGAAGCATGTTGTAATGTGTCCAATGCAGAATCAAAAGAAAAAAACAGCTGCTGAAACTCATTTGTACTATGATTAATTATACCAAGCAGGGTCCAAAAGCAATATTCAAAATGAACTTTTGGGACCATATGAGTGTATAAGTATGATTATTTATATGCTCGTATGCTGTGACACTCTTTATTTTCCATAACTCAGGTATTGTCATGACAAGGTTCAGTTTTATGATGAAGTTACATGAAACCCCGAACTAAAACATGGAAGTTGATCAATGGAATGTTTCAGGGAAACGTTGAGTTCGTAAATCTTCCAGGCTGTTCTCTTGCTTTTTTTTAAATCACTTTTTATTTATCCTTTTAACTACTTTGTATCTAAACAAAACATTGATGTGAAAATAAAGAAAAACACTTAAAAACATCCATCGCCTCTGCTACTTACTCTTTTTTAATGACTGTATTTATTCATTTAGCAGGTACAGTGAAATACAACGAGCATTAAAGACCAGTCATTTCTGCAAGTACAGATTGATAAACTATCAATCCGTCCTTCTTAACATAGTTGTTAAGTGAGTGATAAAACAGAATAACATACAAAATGACAGTACTGATTTAAAATGTACTGACATGCATTGAGAGAGTCTGCATCAAGCTGGGCTCCAAGGCAGGAGATGATGGTGGCCACCACCTTCTTGCTTTCTTGCTGATGTCGCAGCCTTGTTGGGACATGTGGCCATCCAGAACTCCACCATCTGGACCACCAGTGTAGCACGGCATACATCAGTGAATAAAACTGTTAGACAATTAGTCTTCATGTATTTCTGAGCCCACTGCAATCATGTCTCCTTGTGGCATTGTTTTTAAGGGTGCCGAAATACAGCTTTATGCACATCAGCAAGCCTCTGGAGGATCCTGCATCAAGAGGTTCTTGGGACTCCAGAGGCACCAGCAGCTTCAAATAGCTGTTTTGCCCCTAAGCTGCTCTCTTAATACGATGAATTAGCCTTACAGAAACTTTCCTTAACACGCCTTTATCTGAACGAACAAATCTTTTCACAGGACGATGATCTCTCTTAATATTTCGTAAAATATCCAGTGGTTTCATACCTATTTAAAGATACTATTTCACGCTTTTCATCTGCAGAAAGATCTTTTTTCCCCCCATATTGCATGAAACCTGTGACTTGCTTAATAATGTGGAACAACATCCTTAAGTAGTTTCCCATTAATTAGGCTCACCTGGCCAATTGAGACAGAACCTTCTGAGACTTGGATGGTCGTGCTCTAAAATGGTGGAAAGCAGCACAATTGAAAACTTTCATTGAAAAACAAAAAATCTAATGTTTCTTTAATTAAAATCATATTTGCATAATAATTTGGAACACAGTGTAATGAAAACATACCTGTGATTATCATATTCCATTTCTGCCAGTAGATCCTGCGAAATGTTTCACACTTTAATTCCCTGTATTTAGCATTTATAAACAGTATACATGCTTAAAGTAAAGTGTTACCACAATATTATCTCCTCACAATAGGAATACCTTTGAAGATGCATAGTAACTACGTTTTGTTGTTGATGCACAGTAAATAGCTTGGCAAATGACTGCAGAAATCATATCCCTTGTTCTTGAAGCCCATTTTGGCAACTCTTTGTGAAAATCATTTTTACATTAAACTTCATTCACACATGATTTACTGGTATTTTTCTTTTTTTCATCATTCAGACAATAACCCAATTCTGTAGGTCTATTGAACTGGTGATGCATATAATTGAATTAGTTTTGAACGTCACAGTGAGGTATTTCAACACAGGGATTTCATCATGTCTCTATAGCTGGCACTCCTTCACAGAGCCAAGCTCATATAAATAGTATTGTTTTGAATTACTTGAAGCTGCAAACACTGAACAGAAGGTTTGAGAGTATTATGATGACGATTTTCCAAACTTATGCTTAGAAATCTTCAAAGTCCTGAAAATAATGTACACCACAGTAGCTTCAGCCCACATTGTTCTTTACCTAATATGAGCAATATTTATTCTTTGCGTTTTTGTAAATAATAGAAACCATCCACACTTCAAACCGTACAGATTCCTTCTGGATAACCATCAATCATACTGTGTCTTTCTTAAAGCACAGTTGTACTCTACTTCTCAATAATATATCTCTATAATACTGCAAGCATATTAAAGTTGACTGTAATGCATTAATGCAGTGGATTGAATGTTTGAGGAATGTATTAATTTGTATCCACCACTTAAAGTTGAGCATTGCTTCTGCTGGTGAATCCACTACAATGTCACAAGAGCTGAACAACAGAACTCCTTTTCACAGCATATCAGTCTGTTAATTTGCTATGTATTGCATTACCATTTCCAATTCAGCCAAAGTAAACTTGATAATCAAAGCAATTAAAAACACAATCAGTTGTGTTTCCAAGTGCTATGTGAAAACTTGGCTGACAGCTCTTTGGGATTCTGGACCTTCTCTCCTGATGACCCCTCAAGGTGAACTCTTGTATGGCTGTCCATCCCATGAATACTAAATATGGCTGAATTAAACATTTTCTCTCTTCTCACTACTATTTAATCAGTTGTCTTACTGAGCTGTCTGTCTGGAGTAATCCCTGAGGCTCACTATCACACTGACTGGCATCATAAAGACAACTGGCACACTGTTCTGGAAGTATTCAAGCCTTAGCAATCCCACAGTTCCTGCCCCTCTTTGTATGCGCTCTTTAACAGCTACAACCCTATAAATCAAGAGAAGGTCTTTGTTATATGCTTGCAATGTTCTATATCATCCCTTGACCAAGTATGATTTATCTTTGCAAAGTAGTTGATACAGATAGAGATTTATATTGGGGTTTAAGAGGTGCTTGTGTGTATAATCTTTATTTTCTGTGCGATTATTTCCCTCATTTCATCATTTCAAGAGAGAATATAGCCATGCTGAGTATTTCTGGTACCCATGTTGAAGAGTTATTTTTTTTGTGGATTTATCAACACTGGTGTTGGTGGTCATATCCATTGTATTTTCATTTTGAAATTAAACATCTTAAACGTATATGGTCTGCTATAAATTCATTAAATGAGAAAAGAGAAACTCAGCTATACCACAACATTCTTTGACAAACCATGGGTGTATTTTTCCGTCAACAACAGTGGTCTCTACATATAACCACCATGTGTTGAATTAGAAAATGTACGGCTTTAGCGACCAATGTGACAGGAAACGTTTGGCAGGTCGTAAATCTTCCAGGCTTAGTTCTCTTGCTTTTTTTTAAATCACTTTTTATTTATCCTTGTTAACTACTTTGGCTATCTAAACAAATACATTGATGTGGAAAATAAAGAAAAACACTTAAAAACATCCATCGCCTCTTGCTACTTACTCTTTTTTTAGAATGGACTGTATTCTAATTCATTTAGCAAGGTCTTACAGTGAAAGGTACAACCGAGGCAGTTAAAGACCAGGTCGCATTTCTGCAAGTACAGATTGGTAAACTATCAATCCATCCTTCGTTCAATCAGGAGCTTGTTAAGTGGTGATAAAACAGGAATAACATACAAAAATGAACAGTACTGATTTAAAATGTACTGACATGCATTGAGAGAGTCTGCATCAAGCTGGGGGCCTCCCGAAGGCAGCGAGAATGGGATGCGGTTGGCCACCACCGTCTTGGCTTTCTTGGCTGATGGTCGGCAGCCTGTTTTGGGACATGTGGCCATCCAGAACTCCACCATCGGACCGTCTTAGTGTAGCACGGCATTACATCAGTAATAAAACTGTTAGACAATTAGTCTTCATGTACTTTCTGGAGCCACTGCAATCATGTCTCCTTGTGGCATTGTTTTTACAGGGTGCCGAAATACAGCTTTATGCACAATCAGCATTCCCCCTGGGAGTCCTGCATCAAGAGGGTCTTGCGACTCCAGGAGGGCACCGCAGGGCTTCAAATAGCTGTTCTTGGCCCCTAAAGCAGCTCTCTTAATACGATGAATTAGCCCTTACAGAAACGTTTCTTAGACAGCGCCTTTATCTGAACGAACAAATGCTTTTCACAGGCAGCAGAAGGGATCTCTCCATAAATATTTCGTAAAAGAAATATCGCAGTGGTTTCGATACCTAGTTTAAAGGCATGTACTTATTTCAGCGCTTTTTCATCTTGCAGAAGATATCTTTTTTCCCCCCCATATTGCCATGAAACCTGTGACTTGCGTTGAATAATGTGTACAACATCTATGTAAGTAGTTTGCCCATTTAATTTAGGCCTCACCTGGGCAAACGTAATTAAGGGACAAACCCTGTCCTGAGATTGATGGTCAGTGATCTAAACAGGCATTGGGAATCAGCACAAT